ATCGCCGCAGTTTGATTTAGGTCATCATTAACTGTTAGAATGATCAACATCATAAACTGGCAGCTTGCTGAACGACCAAGGGTTTTGAATCAAACTTGCTACGACTGCCAATATGCTCGAACCTAGTCCCTCTTCAAGCGTCCTAAGCAGGCAAGAATCTAAGGGGCCTGTTTATTAAAATCTGTATCTATCTGCTAGCAAAAAAGGAAATCATACGCACAAGCGTAATTGGCCCATGGCAAAAAGAACGTTTCTTCCCTGTAATCACAGCGGGATAGTAATTAGGCGTAGATAACATAGACGTGCTTAGAAACAACGTAGACCCATAAGCACAAGAATGAAGGCTGCGAGTTTGTAAATCTTCCAAGGAGTTTTTAAATCAAAGAAAACCACCCACAGAGATATAACTAAAGGCCTTTGAGCTCCAACCCCGTGTTAATCCAAACTCACTAATATTAACTATATGTAATGACGCAATTGTGTATTCATGGAATTCGTTCGTTCGTTCGTTCGTTCGTTCGTTCGTTCGTTCGTTCATTCCAAGTGCTGACAAACCTAGAACCTAATCGTGGCGAACCAGGTTTCGTTTACCATACCCGTGCTCGTGGGTTTCACCGAAGTGGTAAACGTCTGTGACCTGCATCACTTCGGGCTTTCCTTCCACATAAGGCTGACACGCCGCGATAAAACTGTAATAATGTAAAAAGCGGCGTTAAACCCAACTCACTCACTCACTCTAAACATAAATGCATAATGTACATAGTGTGTATACTGTTCGCGGCGATTGTACTGAACAGATATTGAATTCACATTTAATACTATGTTGTATGTTCTGAATACATCAACAAAGAAGTGAAAATTGTATCTTTAATGAGTGAATATTTGAATATAGTGATGGCGTAGTTAAGAATATCGTCAGTCGATATTCCCATTCCCCCCATATATATTTGTGTGTGTATGAAGTGGTTGGTATTTCACCAATGTGTCATAGACAAATTTAAATTGGAGTTCGATACCTATAGCTATATGTCATGGTGTTAATACGATGGAACGGTATTCAGCAATTATGGCGTATATACACTATGGAATGGCATTTGTTAATACCTTTATATCATGACGTACATACGATGCAACGGTATTGAGTAATGCCTATATATGTATATATGGTGCGGTTGATATCGGAATGAAGGAAACGCCATAGACCGATATAAACATGGAATTCATCCAACGCTCTCAGTTGAATGCCGGTGAGATGGCGACCTAACTAAATCCCCCTGCTTTATCACCTTTTAACTTAATCGAAATACTACGACGGGATGTGGTTTGGCAGTAAGCAGGGATGCAATTACCAAGAGTCGTATTTTAAAGAGAGACCCAGACACTCTTCTTTTTACAAACTACCACTTCAGCACTTCTTGCACAGAACGATATCCAGAGGGACATGCAATCCCAGACAACAGAAAACTTCAGGTCGACCACTGGTCTGTTTAAAACACATGGAAATCATGTGTGTATATTTGGCTATATGTATACACCTAATCATGGCTTCATCAAGGATAGGGGCGGTCGGGTAGCCTAGTGGCTAAAGCGTTCGCTCGTCACGCCGAAGACCCGGGTTCGATTCCCGACATGGGTACAATGTGTGAAGCCCATTTCTGGTGTCCTCCGCCGTGATATTGCTGGAATATTTCTAATATATGGTTTATCTGAAGGTGCACAGCCGTTTAAAAAAACCCACTCATTTTTTATGAGATGCAGACGTAATGCAAACATCATGTGCAGTTTACTAATCAAACGGTATTGATTTGCAATATATAACAGACAACGTCATTTCACCGTGTGACAACTTCAAATACGCTAATATATCAATTTCTGATAAGGATTTCTGTGAAATTAGTGGTAGAATCATCTATCTTAAAAGAAAACCATATATCAACCATTACTTTATTGGGGATTCGTCTACCACATTAAGTGGAACCAGTAGCGTGGAAAATCGTGTCTGGTCGCAATTCACGGCACTCTCATTACATTCTCCTTGATTGCACAATAAAACGTGTGTGATATGTGTTTGCCGTGACGAAACACATGTTTCTGGTAAAAAACTTCAGAGTGAGGGAAATAAACGGGGTTTTTTTCAGACTGTGAACAAATACAGGATGTCACGAGGGCAACGGCTCTCAGGCTGAAAGATAAATAAACGAAACATTTTTTTTCCATGTATTTTGTAATGGTTGGATGAATCGATCAATAATGGTTAAGACATTATTCAAAACATCACGTTAAAAAATCATTCCAATTCATGGTCGTGGATACGTCAAATCACTTACATGAAATAAACCCAGGGTTTTTTTATGACTGGCCTAATCTAGTTTAACTTTGCGCTGTGTTAGTGCCAGTGGTAGAGTGTCCGCCCAGAGGGAGGTAGGTCGGGGTTCGATCCCCGGCCGCGTCATACCGAAAGACGTTAAAAGATGGTACTTGTTGTTACCCTGTCTTCCGCTCGGCATTAAAGGGCTAAAACAAGGACTGGTCGGCTTGGAGTCAGTATACTGTGTCTGAGTGGGGTATTCATGTTAAACTGCGGCATGGTATATCAGTGAGCTAGCACTATAAATCGGCATCAGTCAGGACTAGTACAAGCAGTCACACAGACACGCACGCAAGCACGCACGCACGCGCGTCGCTTTATAAGTGTAATAATCGTAGGCGCGACCCCATTTCACCTCACCTCACAGCAATACGTATTTAATCACAATGTAACGGGTGTCTGCCAATCAAGGCTACAGCAGTATGTGTTTTTAGTCATGCTGACTTGTTACAATGTCAATGGCACCTGATGTCACCGTTACAGCTGTATGTGCAACAAGGCTAATGTCTCATGATGGGGCAACTGTTGTGTAAAGTACATATGGACGGAAGAGGCAGATGATATACAAACGATGCGACTATTTGGAAAAGAGGAAAATATTATTGGCATATTGAGGGGTACCTGCTATCCAGCACAATATACTGGTTCATATGCTGTAAACTTACATTGTGCACCGAGTCAGTTTATGCAACCTTTTCAGATCGACCTCATATTAAAATGAATACCATTCTTCTCAATCACCTAATGTGGCGTACATTTAGATGGCACTTTATGGGCCATCTCTTCATAAAATAGTATTTCACGCAATACAACCGGAAACATTGTCTCCAATCTGCCTTCAAAGATCTACCTACAATCTGCCTTCAAGGATCTACTTACAATCTGCCTTCAAGGGTCCACTTACAATCTGCCTTCAAGAATCTACTTACAATCTGCCTTCAAGATCTACTTACAATCTGCCTTCAAGGATCTACTTACAATCTGCCTTCAAGATCTACCTACAATCTGCCTTCAAAGATCTACCTACAATCTGCCTTCAAGGATCTACTTACAATCTGCCTTCAAATTCTACTTACAATCTGCCTTCAATGATCTACTTACAATCTGCCTTCAAGGATCTACTTACAATCTGCCTTCAAGGATCTACTTACAATCTGCTAGTCATACAAGCCCTGAAATAAATATATCCAATACAACCCATGCAAGTCTACAATAGTTGGCAAGTCTAGATTACTGCAGTTTCAGGAATGAAGCGAATACCTAGGCTTCTTTTATTAAAAGATTATTTATTTATTGTTTTTTTTCTGTAAAATATTTTCATTACAGATACTGGGTGTTAGTCAAACAATCTGCCGTCTACTTGGAATCCTTCAAGGGCCTGCTGGAATACACATGAGTGATGGAAAAACCATGTCATTAATGAAGCTCTCCTTACAATTACAAACTCTCTCCAGTAGGAAAAGTACACCTACCCTGGTATCGACCAGCTGTCCTGCATCGTGTATATCACTAGACGCGACTTTATCATCACCAACATGGGATACAAACACCCATACTATCATAACAGTGACGTATGAAGACATTTCTCATTTATGTTTCCATATATACACACGACCCAGTAGATGGCCATGTAGGTAAGCAGGTCATCACGCTGGAGATGATATAAGGCTTTATGGTTGCATATATCGATATACCGCAGCCACTAACTGGTGTAATATGAATGGCACATGTGGTGACATACTCTTCCCCTCCACCACATACACATAGCAGTTATTTTTCTCGTCGATAATGTTTACAAATACAATAGAAATAAGAAATATCAACGCCAAGGAACAACCAGTCTCTGATGGGCGTAAAAGGGAAAATATCGGTACACGTTATGTAAACGGATCACTGAAAATCAGTGATGATACCAGGTGTTTGTGGGTAAGCATTTCCTACACCCGCCAACCACACACAATTGGGTAAAAAAGTAAGTGTTTGTTTGTTGCTTAACGCCGCAAAGCAGTACTCCTGCCACGCTACGGCGCCTGTAAACAAACAAGACAATCCTTGTTTTGGACCCTGTATTTCTCTATTCCTGGATCCGTCTTCGATGACAAATACTACGACGTTAATCATCATCATCATCATCATCATCATCATCATCATCATCATCATCATATGTCCGGGTTTAATTAACATGACCAAGAACATATAAATGTTATTTGTTATAGACTTACTCAACAACATCCTGCAAGTTATGTGTCACCGACAATAGCTTGTCGTCTGTTCCAACAACCTATTGAAAGATAAACTGTAATCTACTGAAAGAGTATCTGTTGAAAGTTTTTAATGTAATTGGAACATTATAGTTTGTCTGACTGATATATATCATGTCAAACCACGACACTTTGCCATGACATGTAGAGTCATACTGTTAGCTACCTGACAAGATACCATCGATTAGTTAAAAATATAAACTATTCGATGAATATTTGATAAAGCTGGCTGGGCCTCAGAATACAATTTCGCTTGATCCGGGTATCCAAAGATACGCCTTCAGCATAGCCCCACCTCCCCCCACATGTTACAACGCTGATGCTGCCGCTTGGTGCCGTGGGGTCAGTCTCTGGTATCTAATGACACCTACCTCATTCTCCTGTGCCCCCAACTCCGTCTGCATAGTGCATACCCCTCCTCTCAAGCCATGCTGTTGCCCATCTTCTCCTAACTGCCTTTCTCAATCAATATTCACACACAGCAGAGCCAAGTTTCCCGCGCACAGCACTTGGTCGTCTGCCACAGGCTTATCATGACCCGGAAGCACTTAATCCATTGAAAAGGTCTTGACCTTTGACCGAGAAGTCATCACTGTTATCTTCACATCATGTCTGAGTGTAATCCTCGGACGATGACAGAGTTAAAGCTGGGAGTCCTAGGGAGCGTCGTTCTGTGCCTTCTACCCAGGAGCATCGTCGCTTACGGTCCGTTCAGCTAGCGGGGGAAACAAAGTGAGGGCGCTCAGAGCTCGTTCTGCCTCGCCTTATTTCGCCTAATGGTTCGCGAGGCAATACAAGCATGTTAAGCGTGATCATTTATATTGGCAATGTAAACGATAAAATTCGATCCATATTGATCCTTATAATGTACTGTTGACGGATGTCACGGATATTTCATTGATCACCTCTCTAAATTGACGGTAAATGTAGTTGCGGGGTTTGCCTTTCGGCTTCTAGCGTGGTAGAACCTCCACTGACAGTGTAGGAAGGCCTCCAACTGTCTATCGCCTCTCAAAACAAATTTACCAAGCTGGCCATTCACGGAAGCCCTCTCACCGAGGCGCAGTGTGTCCGGATCGAATCAACGTTCTTCTTGCCTTTGCGGCATTGATGACTGCATCGAGCGAAACAGGATTAAAAGCAGATAATCACTATTTGTTTCCCTTGAAAAAACTAATTGAAATGTTGAAGAAAAGTGTTTGCGGGGCAGCAAATTCCACCGAGCAAACTGGCGGTGGTTGAAACTGCATACACGTCTTCTTCTGGCTGTTTTTGCATCTCTACATTGAACAATACGGAGCATATTTGCCTACTCAAGCTTGTTGTCTAATTTTGTTTTTTCTACTAAATTCTACCTCCCTAAGCCAATGAGTGAGTTGGAATGGTTTTACGCCTCTTTAAGCAATATTCCAGCAATATCTCAGCGGCGGACACAAGAAATCACAAATTTCACAAATTGCTTCACAAATTGTATCCATATGGGGAATCGAACCCGGGTCCTCGGCGTATCAAAAGACGTTAAATGATGGTACTTGTTGTTACCTGTCTTGCGCTTGGCATTAATGGGCTAAAATGGGCAAGGGGTCAGTACACTGTGTCCGAGTGGTGTTTTCATGTTGGGGGGGGGGGGGGGGGGGGGGGGGGGGGGGGTCCGGTAGCCTTGTGGTTAAAGCGCTCGCTCGTCACGCCGAAGACCCGGGTTCGATTCCCGACATGGGTACAATGTGTGAAGCTCATTTCTGGTGTCCCCCGCCGTGGTATTGCTGGAATACTTCTAAAAGCGGCGTAAAACCATACTCACTCCCTCACTATTCATGTTAAACTGCGGATTGGTACCTCAGTGAGCTAGTACTATAACTCGGCATAAATCCGGACAAGTACAAGCGGCCACACACACACACACACACACACACACACACACACACACACACACACACACACACACACACACACACCTGTGACACCTGTGACACCTCGCCCTACACCACAGCGTCTTTGCAGCTATTATTAAAATCTAGGGGCACAGGTGGCCCAGTCATCTAAGGCGGAGCGATTCGCTATGCAGAGTTGCGTCCCTTGGGCACGCCAGAAACCTATGACTGTGGGTTCGAATCCCGGTTCGCCCCGATTATGTTTCTAGGTTAGTCAGCACCATACCCGTGCTCGTGGGTTTCTCCGAAGTGGTAAACGTCCGAGACCTGCATCACTACGGACTTTCCTCCCACATACAGCTGACACGCCGCGATATAACTGGAATACTGTTAAAAGCGGTGTTAAACCCAACTCACTCACTTATAATAAAATCTACTCAGAGAATATGCATAACGTTTTAACTATTGTCGTCATTGTAGTCATGGTGCAACTATTGTAATTATTGTGCACTACCTTGCCATCTTAACACTGACCCATGAAATATGTTACGGCAGACCTTAAGGTTACACACAACCAAATGTTACACAAACCATAGACTTCTATAGTAACGTTATATATTTTTTTCAAATAACTAAGCATCCAACAGCTATTACCTGTACGTGTATGCACAGTTTGGCCTTTGACATAAAAAAAACTAGCTTAGCCAGCTCCTTTTCCCGAGTACGGGAAGCTAAACACACCACCCCCAGTTTCGCACCAAATGTCACCTACTTGAAAATAGCTGTGGTCACATTCAGCATAAGTCATCATGTTGAAAAAGACAGTACTAAATATAGAAAAACATGGTCAGTTTTAATAACTGGATGGAAGTACATAAAAATCTTACAGAATATCCTCCAATCACAGCCTGCAGATATCTCTCGGTCTGCACTGAAGGCTTCCTACGAAAACCGCACTGTCCCATCTGATTCTGAATTGGTGTAGTAGAACCTCAAAACACTTTGGCTTTGATGGTTTGCATTTTGCATACAATGATGACTTATAGTTTCAAATACTTTTGTTTGAATACCAGCACTTGAAGGTGAGCTACACGTCTACAGTCTTGTGGCGTTAACATTTCTTCTTCTATGACTGATGTTGCTGTTGCTGATCAAACATTTTCGAAGAAGGGGCGGAATGGAAGCTGCGATTTCCTACATGTTCTATAACCATGTAACAATCATTGTTATTGATTCTAACAAACACAACACAGACGGCTTCATCAAGTGAAGCATGGCTCGATTAAATAAATATTAACGTTGTAAAAACTACAGTCATTAATGTCATCTGTTCATACTAATAAAAACGACAAAACCGTTTCAATAGTTTCTGCCGAAAGCAAAGTCTGCTGAAGGATTACATCTATAAATTATCATGAACATTGTGTTTATGAATCACTATCAAATAGTGACGATACACATGCAAGTAAATTGTTCACCTGACAAAAAAGCACGGTAACATGTGGTACATGTACAAGTCAAAAATCTAAATTGCATCTGATTTTATTTAGGTGACTGATCCCTCAAACGTCCTCCTCATGTCTACCCCAAATCGTTTTGTAAGTTTTACTGATGTCTTGAATGCCGTAATCCTGATTAAAGTGAGTGAGTGAGTGAGTTGGGTTTAACGCCGCTTTTAACAGTATTCCAGTCATTTCAAGGCGTGTCAGCTTAATGTGGGAGGAAAGCCCGAAGTGATGCAGGTCTCAGACGTTTACCACTTCGGTGAAACCCACGAGCACGGGTATGGTGCTGACAAACCTAGAAACATAATCGGGGCGAACCGGGATTCGAACCAACAATCATAGGTTTCTGGCGTGCCCAAGGGACGCAATTCTGCACAGCGAATCGCGGGGCCTTAGACGTCTGGGCCACCCGTGCCCCCATCCTGATTAAAGAAGAATTGAGCAAGAGTATAATGAAGTATTTAGATAACAACTCACTGGCCATCATGAAATTAAGATTGTCTCTCGCGTGCTAGCTGCATCGTCATATTCACGTTGAATAAGTTCTTTATTCATGATGCACCCACTGTTCAAAACATAGCTATCTTAACTCATAAAGCAATGCGATGGCGATTTGTGGAGATTACATCTATATTGTATATTGTACATTACATTATCTTATACAGTTTACGCTGAAATGAGGAATGGGTCTGTGGCCTACACTACTTGATGAATAAATGTATAAAAATATATATAAAACGTTAGTTATTATTCCGACATCTCGATATGTTTTTTGTCTTTATTACCCATTCCTACCATGGGTTCTTAGATAATTTTGATTACGTATTGGAGGCCGCGCCTTTTTCGTGTTGTGAATATCTTATACAACGTGTCGTGATGCGAGGCAACTACAGCTAAAAGGGAATATCTGCCTTGGTTTCTTGACAAGTTGAATCAATTAACAAAATTGAAGCTCAATTCTGTCAAAACATGTTATTTTTTTTACACCAGACTGACAGACAGAATACTTATTTACATCTCACTCGCAATTACTTGGAACATAACTATTATGCATATTATTCAGTAAAACTAAATTGCGACCAATCGCCACGCGATTTATGAGAGATGATTAAACCACTCAGTCATACAATACTACATAATAGACGAACAATCACTACTATCCCACACAACAAACTTCCTTCCTTGAACCATATATTGATCCTTTGTCAATAAACGTGGCGACCGCCTCCGTGGTCTAGTGGTAGAGCGTCCGCCCAGAGAGCGGAATGTCTGGGGTTCGATCCCCGGCCACGTCATACCAAAAGACGTTTAAATGTGGTACTTGTTGTTAACCTGTCCGGCGCTCGGCATTAAAGGGCTAAAACAAGGACTGGTCGGCTCGGAGTCAGTATACTGTGTCTGAGTGGGATATTCATGTTAAACTTCGGCATTGTATCTCAGTGAGCTAGCACTATAAATCGGGATCAGTCCGGACTAGTACAAGCAGCCACACACACACACACACACACACACACACACACACACACACACGCACGTCGCTGTATAATTGCAATAATCAATAATCTTGGACGCGACCACCTCACCAATAAACGTGGTCATCATATTTACATATCACTCTGTAGAGGATCGTCAAAAGTGAAAGCAAATGTCACCAAAGTTTGCTGGAAAAGACACAAGTGAGATTAGGCCAATATGACATTTGGAGTTTGGACGTTGCGGCAAGACTTTGGCCTCCCCATTGGCATCAATTGAGCTTCCCTCCTTGCTGGTCTGCTTCTTTATTCATTTGCATTGGAATTTATGCTCGGATTGGCAAAATCAAAACAGACCCGTGAAGATCTTGGGTCTTCAGCAAAAAAAGGCGACTATGCTTGTCGTAAGAGGCGACTAACGGGATCGGGTTGGCAGGCTCGCTGACTTGGTTGATGCATATCATCGATCCAAATTGCTTGGATCGATGCTCATGATATTAATCACTGGATTGTCTGGTCCAGACTCGATTATTTACAGACCGCCGTCATATAGCTGGAATATTGCTGAGTGTGGCGTTAAACAACAGACAAACCAAAATCAAAACAAGGGAACTGGGCTAAGATGTTTAACTTAACGTTCGGAAATAACTAAATTTCTTGTCACCTTTTCCGGCAAGCATGGGTTGCTGTAGACCTGTTCTACCCCGAAACTTCACGGGTCGAACAAATATGGGTTAAAATGTCAACCCAACCAGTGTTTGGCACCAAGCAGTTCGTATGCCCTCTGCGATGAATGAGTCCAGGCCAGGCCGCTTCCACGAGACGTTTTCACACTCAGGTCAGAGACAGCCTGGGATGAACGTCTAGCTGAGTATAGAACACACCTGAGCCCCT